GGGGTTGGGGGAAGAGGGGAACGGGAGGAGGGCGGGGGAAGGACCCGCCTCTCGCTGCCTCGCAACCGCCGGGCTGCCCGGCGCGAACGCCTGAACAAAACACGCCACCCCCGGGCTCCCAAACGACAGGGAAAAAAAAAAAAAAAAAGAAAGAAACGGATCCGCACCTCCTCCGCGAGGTGAGGAGGTGAGGGAATGGAGAGGCGGCCGTTCGGGTCTTTCAGGCAACGGCGCGGGCGACCCCGGGAACGGCACAATGGGCGGGGGCGCCTCGCGCGGGCCAACGGCTGCGGCGCCCCCTCTCCCCCCCCCCCCGGGTCCTGAGGGGCCGCCGCGGCCTCGGCCCGGGCCCGGTGCTGCGGGGGGGGGGAGAGACCCCGGACCGGGGAGACCCCAGGCCGGGGAAGGGGGTTGGGTGCAGCCCGGTGCCGCTGCCCCCTGTGAGGGGGAGCGGAGCGTCCCTGTGGAAAGCACCCGCGATGGCGAAGGGTGGAGGTGCGGCCTTGTGGTATCTGGAAACAAACCAGGGAAACAACCGGCCCGCGGGCACGGGTGTCATCGTGTGTGCTTTAAAAACGGTAATTCAGAGTAAGGCAGGCTGGTCACAAAAAGCCCACGTTGGGTGTTTTCTTTCTAGTGGGGTTTCACGGGGAGAAAGCCCAAGGCCCGGGGAGTGCTGGTACCCCCCAAGGGGGTACCTGAAGCGAGGAGTTGGGCAAGGCTGCTTCTCTTTGTGGTAGCGTCTCGCATGTAAATACATCAAAATACGGCCTTCGGTGGCTACTCAGGCAGCAGAAAACATTTTAACTAAAAAACTGCACTGAAAAACAGGCTAATTTCAAATTGTTAGGGCAACAGGTTGCTCTCTTCAAGCGGCGATACATGAGCAACAGCTCAGGACAGTTCACGGTGCTAGAAACAGGTTTAGGTCTAACTAGCAATCACTGAACACCTACCCTGGACCCCACCAGGAATTTTGGGCAGGTACAGCTCTGCCCACGGCTGGACCCCATTAAAGCATCTCCAGACACCCGCTGCTCAAGGAGCCACCAGGCCAGAGGAGCAAACTAGCAGCTAGGAACCACCAAAATGCAGCCAAAGCAGTGCTGCGTTAGCACAACCCCCACCTGATTGCTGTACCCCAGGGCAGGTAACATCTCCTGCAAGTTCAAGAGTATGTGCTAGATAGCGACAGGCATTAGGTTTTCAGAAGAAAAAAGTTCTGAAGGTTTTTGCTCAGTGAGGAAGGCAGACCAGGGTATGAGTCCACCAAAGGACCCACGAGGTGTTTGGGGTGCTGTGTTGTGCCATGACACGCAGCACTGATTCCATGCTATGCTGTTGAGCCCGGTTTTGCATCAGCTCTCCGTGGCAAAGTGGCTTTTAAGTAGGTAAGATATTTACACAGTGACAACCCATGATGATGACAATTTGCTTTAGTTCAAGTCTTAATTTAAAATGTTTTTAGAAATGAAGTATGTTTTCACAGCACTTCAGTGCAGGCAGAGCCAGGCTACTTGTAAGCAGACTGGTACCTGCAACAGCATTGCACTGCAGAGCACGAGTACAGTGTAAGTCACGGCTTTCCCTTTCTTTGGGGTCCCAGAGGGTCCCAGGCTGTGCACCACACACCTTATTGAACAAATGACAGTCATACCCACTAGAAAATACCTTCTAACAAAAAGACTTTTCCTGAGATTGAGCAATTCTAAGTTCAGAAGGCTGCTTTGCTCATTTCAGAGTCCACAGTGCAGGACAGTACCATAGCGACAGAAGTATCAAGTCTTCTTTAGTTCCTTAGTTTTCTACCTGAGTGACATAAGCAGTGAGACTGCAAATATTAGAAGTATTTAGTATACTAAATAGTCTGTTGGTTAGGGCTGACTCTCTGGAGAGATGGAAGACTCAAATACAGATTCTCAGCCAGGAAGAACCTCTTAGAACTCAGATGACAGTAAGACTATTCTACATCAGGTCGTATCACTTAAATAGGTTTCTGTACGAATTCCAGAGGACTGTTGGAGACAACTGCCTAACTTGGGAATCTTGTTTCACAGGCTTTAGGATGCTGAGCAGCTTGTTGGTTACAGCACACACTTGAAGATGACTCTGAGCAACATGATCTGACTTTGAAGATGGTTCTAAATTCAGAGTGTGGTCTAGAGGACCTCAGCACTCCTGTCCAGCCTGAATCACTGTGTGCTTCTGGAACATGCGCTTCAGTGAACTCTTCGTAACAGCTGGGTAAGCATCCAAAGATGTCAGGTGATGCTTATACAGCAGACTTTGATGCTAACGGAGGTTTCTCAAAGTTCCTGGTATTAGTCACCAGATAAGCTGTTTGTTCACCATTCATTAGGACCTAATTATCGTATTTTATATATATAAAAAACATGTAGATGTGCGAAGCCTCCAAACTATGCCTAATGTGACCTTTTGATTGTACCATCATCACATTTACCTCTTTCCTCCTCAGTCACTCCATCTCGTACTCCAATGCTGAGAACCACATTCACTGCACTAAAAAAGAAACACCACTGCCTTCATTTTCCTCACATGTGCTTTTTTTATTTTATATTAAAAGTCCTTGGTTTAGAGGATCAGATGATGACAGAAGGTGGTCTGTGGAAAACATATCTGCAAATCCTAAATCCCCTTTCCCGATGTTGCCAAAGACCAAGGTTTCTGATCTGGCTTGTGATCAGTGAGCACAAGCTCTCAGACTGCAAATTAGGCTCAGCAGAGGGGGGAGGGGGGTGGGGTTTGCTCTCTACACAAGTCTAATAACATCTAGGAACAGGCAGAAAGCTAAGTTCCATGCTTAATTATGGTCTGTGTATGAATTTAATTTAAAATGATACTATTGATGAGCTTTATACTTGATACAGCTGTCTACAGCTTTCTAAAGGAGATAATTCAGTCCACGATGGACTTTGAATTTAGCTGTTGAATTAGAAGTCTGGGGAAGTTAAAACAACAAAAACACCCCACACCCAAAAAAAGCAGCAGACGGCTGTCACAGATAGACTCTAATCACACAACGGCCACCTCCCACTGTGCCCTACATATCATACAATGAACCTCCCCAGCTAGTCCAGATGCTTTCTGTTATCTGTGGTGAAAAAGCAGCTGCTGCAGCGTCGATAGCCAAAGTCCTGCGAGTAAGTCAGTATTAATAACACAAAAGACCCATACTTCACTAAAGCTGCAAGGCAAAGACCAAGATTTTTCAAAAAATGGGTGGCCCAATTTCAATTGTTACGCACATAGGTAATCATTGCAATGCAAATAATCCTAAACCTAAGGATTGCTACCCTGAGCCATAAAGATAACGGCACCATGTATGAGCCACAGATAAATTACAATTAAGGGCCTTTTACCACTGAGAACCCAGAGGAGGAAGGGGGAAGCTGAACACTAAAGCAAATACCTGAAAAGATTGGAGCAACCAAGATCAGCGCAAGCTTGATTTAACGCTTACCAGATCCAGAAGAGCTCTGACCTACATACTTGCAGCATCTCTGGGCTGCGGGCAAAGCCAGTGGAGCAGCGACGCAGCCGCAGGGGGAAGGGGATTTGAACACGCTGAACATTAGAGAGCAGCCTCCCGGACACAGCACTGCATCTGCTCCACAACCTTGGATTCTCTTCCTATTTCTGTCAGGCAAAACTTACTGTGCCCCCCACCCCTCAAAATACCTCACATTCTCCACTTTTACAGAGAAACTGGTTGTTTGGGTTTTTTCTGCCAGTGGCAATTTAGAGACTACAGAGATAACACACTGATTATTTTTCAATACCACAAGCGTGACGTGGGAGTGCCAAAGCCTAATGAGAACCAGGCTTGAAAGAGCTCAGCTTTGCTCCATCGACAAGTTGGGAAACTTCACAAAACTCAGCCTGGAGTCCCTGAACCGCAGGGATGGGCGGCCAGCAAGGGCTGGACTCGAGGGTCTCGAGAGCACAGCTGTTCTAGCAGAGAGAGACAGGTATGGTTTGCTGGAAAATTAGGTGTGACCATCCAGTCTGAACAGGAACATCCCCCCTATGTGCAGGGGAGGATGAGACTTGCTGCAAAAATCCGCCTGTTTTCAGGAATCCAAAAGATGAACAACATTTTTTAAAACAAGTAGCTGCATCAACAAGTTAAAAAAAAAAAATTGAACTGACTGGTTCAGTGTAAAACCAGAAAACATCAGAATTATTCACATGAGATGGATGGTAGAAAGACATTGCTGAGCTCAAAGGCCTGTGCCACTGTTGTTTAAAGCAATCTTGCAACAGCACAGCAGCAGAAGAGGAAAATTTGTTCTCAATACAACTCTGGAAAAAGGTAATTATTGCATTTCCACTTCATCAAAACTCGTATTACAGGAGCATCCTTGAGAAGGTGTCGCTTTTCATCCAAGCTGTAGCCCAGCAACGCAAGAGAGTGGGTGGCAGAGCCCACTGGTTGGATGAGAGTCCAATTAACACCGATAGACTGACAAAACTCAATTCCCAAATCCTGTCAAGCAGACACCAACTGTTTTTTCTTTATCAGCTTCTGTTTCTTCCTCTAACAACAGTCATATTTCCCTTACATAACTACAGGGATTCAAGAGAGTTTAGAAGACTAAAGATGGGGGGGGGGAGATTAAAAATAGAAACACACCTACCTCAAGCGCATTATGCGGCATCTACTTCCTAACCTCATCCTCACCTCACCTCCACGTACTTAACAGACCAATTTTTGTACTGGTTGTGCCCTAGCATCCTTTGAAGCCATTTGGACTGCTCCGAAGGAGCCAAGCTTGGGTCCTGTGGTTGCTGCAGCTGCGTTCACACTGAAGAAGATGCTGCCGGGTGAGAGTCACCCACCTCCAGCCTGTTGAGGCTGCCAAATTACAGAGAGCGTGTACCTGAGCCTTACCGACAGCCAAATGGCTCCACAACCCTGCCAGTTCACAGCACGCCAGTCACGGCACACCGGTCACTGCCCTGCCGGTCATGGCGCTCCGGTCACGGTCCTGCTGGTCACAGTCCCAGGGGTCACGGTCCTGAGGGCTCACATCATACCAGTCACGGTCCTGCTGGTCACGGTCCCGGCGGGGACACGCGGGACGCAGCCACGCGGTGGCGCCGGGGCTCCCTCCGAGGGACGGGAGGCGGTGGGGAGCGGTCAGCAAGGCTCATCCCCAAATCGGTGCACTCGTCTGTACTCTGTGCGCTGAGTGAAAGAGTAGACTTGCTTTAAACAGCCTAAAGAGCGGCTTTCAGTGGCAAGGGATAAAATCCTGAATATCCTTCATAACCAAGCGTGCGAGTAAGTGAACTGGGCTGGCTCTAAAGGGTTGCGTGGCACCAGTCTTCAAACTTGGAGCTGTTCACAGTCCAAAAAACAGATTCTGGACTGGTTCTGATGCCACAGACGGTAAAGAACAGTTGCTTTGAGGTTTCAAAGTCAATGGGAATAAATACTGTTTGTTTCAGAAGTCAGGCTAATTCGAACCATTTTTAAAGAGATTGCAGGGAAAAAGGGACAGTCCAGTAACATTTTGAGATGGCTGAGCTAAAGCTAGATAAACTCACGACCAGACACAACACAGAACCCATCACCAGCCTTTCTTTGAGAGGGGGAAGAAAGGAGAACAGGCTCCCAGGGAGCCACGGCACCCCCTCTCCTGGGCAGGGGTCCCTGCTTCAGCAGCGGCGAGCTGCGTTCCTCTTCCCCGAGGACAAACGTGGCGCTGGAAAAGGAGCGAAGCTGCCTGCAAAGTGGGTCAAGCGTGGAATGAGCACCGTAGGATCCTCTCAGACAAGGCTCCTCCAGGGCCCCCCCTTTTTCTTTAGAAAACAAGGAGGCAGAAGAGAGCAGCAGTGACTAGCCACTCTCGCACTGACGGCTACCATAAAGAAGGGGCTTTCACAACAGGTTTTATGGTTAGGCAGGGTGGTGGTGGGTGTTTTTTCAAACTGCCAGAAAAATAAAGGCAGTTGGGAGCCAGGGTAAAAGCCTTTCAGCCCAATTGATCACACAGTTATCAGTTTAAACAGTACATTCCCCTTTGACAGTTCAGCACTTTTGTTTTCAAAAGCATGATCCAGAAAACAGTTTATATATTTAATGAAAATTTTTAAAAAAGCCAAAACCACACCCCTCCAAAGAAACCAGTTGTGTTTGGGGGAAATCTGATGAGGAAGATGAATGCAGAAGTCAACAAGAAAACCAAATAGCAAAGGTTTAGTTTGATTTATACAGCCCTATGCAATGATACAAGCATCTGCAAACCAGACAGTCTTCTCATCAGAAGCACCTGCCTGCAAGTTTTCATCCAGGATACTCATCTAATCGTGCTGCTCCTCTTCCATCACCAGTCCCAGGGCAGCGTAAGGTGGCATGATGCAGCCATTGGCAAGGTCAGGAAATATGAACGAATACTGGTTTGAAGCTATTGGAACATCCCCCCCCCCCCCCCTTTTTTTTTTTTTTTTTTTTGCTGATGTTTTGCAAACTACAACCAAAGTCTTGACAGCTTCACAGCAGTTTGATGAACGAGCTAACGGGATAACCACCAATCCCAAGTCTTGCGTACCGTAACCGAGTTAAGATGCTGTTTTAAACACAGAAATGTCATCTGGAAAGGACCTCACCCTCCCCCCTGAAGCAGCACTAGCCCCAGTGCCAGCTCAGCTGTGGCTTTCCCTAGCCCTGTCCTGAAAACTTCCAAGACTAGCTATTCTGCAGCCTTACCAGTTAACCTGTTCCAGTGCTACAGTGCCCTCCTATTCTAAAAGCTGTTATGTCCAACCTGGTTTTATATGTTGGCTAATTATGTATATACAGTATTTAGGTACTATTAGTGCTTAATGTTTTATACACCAGCAGCAATCAGTTTAAATCTTCATCCAAAAGCAGTTCTGTTCACCGTAGAGCAATTAAGAGATCAGGAGCTGTAGTTCAACCCATCTTCAAGAATAAAGCTTTTAAGCCACAGCACAGGTTTTCAAAGGCTGAAACATGCAGCACTGCTTAATTTAAAACCAAAAGTGATGCTTCAGCCTTTTTTTCCTGTATATATGCCAAAGAACTCTGGTCCCTTGCTCAATAGAGCAGCTTGCCTTTATTCTCATCCAGAAGGAGTAGAGCCAAATGAATTAGAGCACTGAAATAACTTCTTTAAAAACCACAGTATGATGACTCATGAACTGCTTACTCTGCAGGGCTTTTTTAGTGTATTCACGAGTACTGAAAGATTTCTACAGTCCAGTGTAATTTTTTACTTAACACTTTACCTGTTTCCAACTTTCTCCTGGAACTTGCAGGGAACTAATACTCCACGTAGCGATTGCTGTAGTGCACAGAAGGCACCCTACACATTCTACAGGACTTCAAAAACCATTGCTTGCCAACATTTTGCTCCAAAATCTAAGCTCATATAAACCATGCATATGGTTGCAAAAACCACGGAATACTAAAAAGCCATTTCTCTTGGTAAAACTTTGCTTTAACCTATGCAAAAACCCCTAAAACAGATCTTGAGTTTCCACGAGCACTCAGCATAGAGACAAAACAAGAAACAATTAGAGTAAGTAATAAATGAGTGTGTGACAGGTGCATAAGGAAGTGGTGAGAGTGGAGCCACACCTTCAATTAATTGAATTTGGAGCAGCATTTAACTTTAAATTCAAAATTGTGCTTTGATCACACTTAGCTCTTCTTACAGACCACTTTTCCTAAATGAACAAGCACTTTTATCCTTCAGCCCCCTCCTGCTCCTTAGGTCACAGCTCCTCAGACAGCAGGAACTGCACTCCAGTATTGCCGCAGAAATGAAGGGGTGAGAGGGGAAAAAACAGAGGAATGTGTTTACCAAACTATGAAAAAAGGCCCAAAATAAACCTGGCACTTGCGTAACAGTTTTGGGTTTGTATTATACATGAGGAAATCCTTTGCCTTTAAGATTCAGGCTGAATTTCTAAATTGCCAGAGCAAAGACTTTGTCTCAGGCTCTTAACGCACAATTACTTTATGAAAATGACTTTCAGCGTTTAAATTTACCACTATAAAAAAGTGAAATGTGGAAGCATGGATTGGCAGGTATCAGCAACTCTCAGAAATCTTTTCTCTACTAACATTTCCAGATGGACTTCTGATACTAACCAGGCAGATGAAATGTCAAAAGCTTTCATCAGCAGTATGTCCACTCACCACCTTCTTCCCCAAGACAGAATTTATTCCATTATCATCCAGACACACGGGGAAGAACAAGATAACTAGCTCTGTCTCTCTTCACTTGCCCGTGTGTCAAGTATCCTTCTGGGCTATTATCAGAAGTTCTAAAATAGGTAATGCTGCCCAAGCATTTGAAGCAGGGATACTGAACATGTATGCAAATGTCAGCAGCTGGAAACAATCTGACACGAGCACAAGCCGACAAATACATGCACTGGCTTACCTTGGAGAAAACATCCACCTACACATGCAGCACTCCTTGTCAGTCACCAGCAGAGCTGGGGCTGCTGCAGCACCCAGCCCCGTTCCCCAGGGTGCTGCAGAAGAGGTGCACCAGCGCAGCTCTGCCATCGGGGATGGCCAGCCAGGAGGCCATTGGCAGAGAGTGGGCCGTGGGAGGAGAGGAGAGAGCAATACACGGGAACTGGCAGAAGGCATAGAAAGAGTGTGAAGGGGAAAAAACCTGGCAAATCTATACACTTCAAATCGGTCTCATTTTTCCTTTCAAAACCAAAAGTTACTGAATATTTCCTTGGGTAGGAGTGCAATTTTGCCTCTTGTTTTTGACTTAATGACCCCTTAGTTCAGAAGGACAGGCCTCCACAAAGGAATGGTGCCGACTTCAGTCTGATATACAAATTCAGAGAAATGGCCAAATGATAGGACATCATTAAGTGCGACTTAAGTAAAACACAATACGGAAAGCTCAAAACCCTCCCCCATCTGTCCAACAACAGATTCTACTGATGCTACCCAAATTCTGAGAAACAGAAGAAAAAAGGGGAAGTTTTTAGAGCAGTTTGTAGAAAAGTGTCGAGTTTCATTCACGACTGCCTTCTGACAAGTTAAACCCCACTGTCAGCCCTCCTCACTGAACACTGGGTTTAACTATCCTGCTTAAAAAAATACTGAACTACCACACTGTGGGATTTCCAGCTACTCCTAGTTCACGTTTCATGGAATTCACCAGTCTGTGTATTGAAGGAGGAAACATCAACACTGATCTCCAGCGGAAGTACAAATCCGAGTTATGCTCAGCATCATCACAGTCTGAAGTGAAGGAAGTTTTGCTCAGGTGAACTAATCAATCAGCTACCACTAAATCAGACAGTAATTATTTATATTTGAAGTTTTCTTCTCTTGAATCTTTCAAACATGCCTTTAGCTGGTTAATACTGCTGGTGGCCAATCTCCATCAGAGTAACAATTTTTTGTTCACAAAGTGATTAGTCTCAATGCAATCTTCAAACAGGCAGTCACAGTGCAGTTACGGGGGAAAAATACAAAAACTGGAGTGACTTTTAACATCTTCCATTGACTTTTTACTAACAACTGCTTGCATTTGTATACAGAAACTGAACAAATGGACTGACTGCTCCCCCCCAGAGCAGGAGATGAGTCACACCAATTAAAGTAACAGGGAAAACAGAAAATAGGGCAAAGTCATTACTCTTGAAGGAATGGTGTCAATTAATTAAGACACAAAGTTCTGTCTACAAAAACATTTACAGAGAATGGCAAGTGAAAGGAATTTAAAGTGAACTACTCTCTACAGCAAAGGATTTTGGTTTTTTAATAGTGATCAAAGCAAAAGTTCCTGATACACTAAAAAAAGACACTTCAGATGCACTTATTTTTAGTATGCACTTCTTCCTGTAACAGATCAAACTGCAGAAGACTGAGCGCTCTCCAGAAACCATTTGGAACCCAACCTACGGGACAAGTCTGAATTTTTGGTGAAGAAAAAAGCAACCACTCAAGCCTTTCAGAAAAGGGATGAAGTAATGCTTGGTGAAATGCAGCACCTTCTTTGCTAGTTAGAGAATTAAGCGGTCCTCCAGCAGAAAAGCAAGACTAGGCCTTTCCCTAGAACTAGGCCTCCAGGTAAGTTGGACATTTGCAAAATCCCTGTACTCTCCCTTAGAAGCAAGCAGTGTTAAAAAAAAAATCCTCTATAGTGTTACAGAATCTACATTGTGCTCAAGGAATTTAAAGTCTCTTAAACAATATGAAAATTAAGAACCCTCTATTAAAACAAGACCCAGGTGTGTCTTTTTAAGATATGCCCAGTAAGTTTCAAGCACAAGCCTTAAGAAGGCATAAAATTTAAATTTGTTTTGAACAAAATAATCAAATCAGGATTCAAATTCTGAAACAAATTAGTAGAAAGGAAATATTTTAACAGAAGTTAACATAAAACACATACCACCATTTTCAGAATGGAAGTTTGGGCAATACACGTAGTACTAAATTTCAAGTTATTTCCTTTAATATTTAGAAAACTGGTTTTATTCTTAGTTTTTCAGAAAATGATTTTAAGTATTAGCACCTACATTGTAAATTACTCAAACTTAGATTTACACTTGAAAAAAAGCCACACTCAATCAATTAAGTGATCCTATATTCTTCCATTTTCAAATATTTCAGTAGAGCACCGAGAGGGAAAGAGAGCAACATGTCAGTAATAAGCAAGCTCTGTTCTCAGCTGCATGATGACATATGACCAGGCACCTCCCTGGGACAGAATTCAAAAGGTCAGTTTTCCAGCACACTCCAATCACCTCAGTTTTAGTTATTTAAGGTGGAAATTTCTATGCAAGTTTATAAAACCCATCCAGCTACATGTTACTTTATTAAACCACAGTTGACCTGAGATGCAATTAGGATTTGACATTTTTCCATACTTAGTTCACAAGTTTATTATGAAAAACACTGCAGCTCTGTCCTGCAGTAACATTGTTTTACAGAAAAAAACAGTTCTGTTCAAAGTAATTCACTATCCTTGGACAATTACAAGGGACAATATGGTAGGGCAAAGAGTGGAAAAGGGAACCGAGTGCAGACAAAAAAAAAAAATCAATACAATTAAATTAAACAGTATTCCCTGAAAATAAAACAAACAAACAGTTTCAGAACAAATATGAGGCCTTGGTACTTATTTTAAAAATGTTCTTTAAGCTTCAATGATTGTTTGCTGCTACCCTTATCTACAGTCATGCTGAATAAAGCTATAGCTAAATGGAAAGTTAAATGTATTCACGAGGTGTTAATGTCTACATCTTATTATTTGCAGTCTCTCAGAGAAAGCAAAAGTAACTACAAATAGCGCTATGCCAGAAACTGGTTTCTTGACCAACAATGTTGCTTCAGCATGCAATGAACTGGTTCATTCTAAAGTGGTCACAGTTGTTGACGACAAGAGGCTTTGTATTTGAATATGGCACGTCTTTTGGTCCATGTGAAAACAAGTTTGAATGTTAAATATTTTCTGACACTTTGGAGTTACTGTTGCTCTTCCCATTTTCTTTAGGTCAACATATGGTTCATGGCAATACTGTACAGGTCTAAAATCTCTTTACAGGAAGTAGTCTGGGGTGCGACGAGTAACATGCGGTTCACCTCTACGTGGTGCTGGATCAAACTGCAAACTGAAAAGCGTAGATATTAATGAAACCGCAAGAGTTCAGTTTACATGCAGGTATGTTTTATATTTGATTTACAGTAGCAGTGGTCTTTAACACAGGTAAGTCTTTTCAAGTTTTTTCAACTGATTAAAGTCTTCCAGAACAACTGTTCAACTTCTTCTACTCCTTCTATTAGTATGTATTTATCACCCCCATATTTTACACCCCTCTTATGATTACTACGAAGGACTGGAGAGAAATGAATCTTAGCTTTTAAGACTCAAACTGGTCAAACATTAGTATATATTTAGAAAGTTAAAGTCTCCAGTAATTGTCAAAGGGGGCAGTTTACACAATGCTTTTGCCTCATTTACTAGTAAAGTTGCTGCTGAGGTAGTTAATTAGAAACCTCATTAAAAAAGCTGACATCCTAACATCTGAAGAATTCAAAGATTCTGAAAGACTCTTGCCCTCAACTGACAGGAGGGCATTACCTCAGATGTGACAGAGTACTCCTATTCTCAAATCGCATACCTCTATAGTATTTCATTGAACTCCAGTTATACCAAACAAAAAGGAGTCATCTGACTTTAATCTGACAGACAAGATGTCAACAATGACTGTTACAGATATGTGACCCCAAGACTTATGATGCGACTAATCCAACAATTCCACACTCACTTTAACTCCCAAGAGTGTATAGGGGAAAAAAACCATACCTTAACACAATAATTAAGTGGTATCTTGCTACAGCAACTATCTTAAAATCATGGGCAATGTAATTCTCATTTTTAAAGATACTTACAAGGAGTATTTTAGAGTATCATCAAGTTCCATAATTGCAGCCTGGTTGCCACAACGGTAACAATAGTTTGGAGCACTGAAAATTGTTACTACGTTCCGATCATGGCACCAGTTGTACCCCTGGGGAGGGAAAAATAAAAACAATTATGACCTCCAAGTTCATTTGTTGTACCCCATATAACCATCTGACTAATAACTGAATTTTTAATGCACAAAACCCAAAGTGGCATTTGTAGTGTCATTTTAAATAAGATTAAGGCTATATCTTTGTCTTCTTGAGAGAAAAGAAAGTAAAAAGGAATTTTGGCTTTCATATGTTGCTTCTTACTAGTAAGCGTGAGCTAAGCATATTTTAAAAAAACTGCAAGAGTTCTCCATTGTGTTAGCGTTAAAAATTAAAACGGCAATTCTGAAGTACACAATCTATTCTGAATCTTCAGCACTGATCAGCAAAACCAGAATCCAGACACACATTTAAAAATCGTAACTGCCAAGGATAACTAGAGACTAAGAACAAAAACACACATCCAAGGTAAAACAGAAAAATACCTATTTTTTCAAGGCACACCTTTGTGTGCATTTTCTTATCGAGGGACTCAGCATTTATGTTTAAGAATCATTTTATCTACACAGAAATGCAATACCACATCTACTGCTGAAGTCTGTTTTGGGATGTTACTGTAAATTTTCAGGGAAAAAAAGCCAAAATAAAGGTTACTCCACTGTCAAATTGAGAAACTCCTTTAGTAGCACATGAACACTGTCAAAATAGAGTTTCTGGAAGACTCTCAGCTTGATCATCAGTTGTCAAAGCAGTATATGCGCATCCCTGACACACAGAGTATGGTATTAATGGCCAAACTATGCAATCAACAGTTTTAAACACACAGACTATCCCACTTACCTCCATTACCAACTGATGAGCTCTTGAAACCAACGTAAGGCCATTAGCATGGTTAAAGGTTTCTGAAATATCCTGTCCAAATGTATAACCTGCACCTCGAGGAGAGATGCCCCAGCCACCACGATCATCTGGATCTGACCATAGCAAGTCACACATTGGACCCTGTAAGAGATGTAGAAGATGTTTCAGAACCTAAGTGCACAAAACCAAAACCAAACAAAACCACAAAAAGCCTGCGCACACACACCATCCCTGCACAGCTTGTTGCAGCATCTCTTTAAGACTTAAAAAAAAAATGCCTACCAACTACAACAGCTCATGCAGTTAACACTTGAAATACTACCAAGAAGTTAGCCTGAATGAAGAATTTTCACAGAAGTAGTTCTCACCTCTGAGATCATTAGGTCATACCTGTTGAGATTCGAGTCACACTAAAATATGTTTGTTTCTTCAGGCAAGAACACACCCCTTACTTTCCCTTCAAAAAACTAGAACAGGAAGACAGGCACTTTCATATTGCTCAGTTGCTCTGAATTTAATTTTTGGCCTGTGTACTCAAATACCCAATATATGCTGAATCATGAATCCCACAAGTTGAGAATTATTTTTCAGTACCTCATGGGGAACTTCCTGCAAGCGATCAAGTGCTCTGATGTGATCCAGTGTATCTATTGATGGAGAGAGGCCACCATGTAGACAGAAAATCTGGAAGAGTTAGATACATGAAGTTTATCTCATTCATTTACACTAATTATATCAGTGCAATTATAATTGTTTAGTATAAATGACTAGGAGAAAATCTGCAAGAGATTCCTTTAAAGCTGAGAGCTGATAGAATACAGTGCTAATAGCTCCCTTTACAACTAGTAACATTTAACTTGTCAATATCAACATACCTGGCCATCAACCAAGGCAGTTAGAGGCAGGTAATCAAAAAGGTCTGTAAAGTATTTCCAAACATTTGCATTTCCGTATTTTCTTAAACATTCATCATAGAAACCATATACTTGTGTGATTTGCCTGCTTTCATGGTTCCCTCGAAGAATTGTGATACGTTCACGGTAACGGACCTAAACATAACAGTTTATTTTAGAGACATCAAAATACGCCTGTCTTCCCAAAACACAGAATTTGCACCCCTCACCACCCGTCATATAATAAAGCAATGAAAACCAAGCCCTTTAAGATGAAGATTCAATTATAACATTTGAGAAAAGAACGGCTAATTCATTCAAATCTTCAGCTGGCAAATACTTTTGAAATTAATTACAAATTTTATTCATTGTGACTAGTGGACTTCACTATACCTGTGCATTAAGCTGATCTCTCCAAGCAAATTCTTAAATATTGCTACTTAGGCAAGTAAAAAATAAATACAGCACTAATTTTAGAAAAAGTTCAGGCTTGCATCTGAACATCAATTTTATTTCAGAAGTATCTCAGAAAACTAAGACAGCCGACATTTCAGTTTTTGTACCAATAATACCAATGTAGTGCAAATCATAATAGATATTAAGTGTAGTCAGGATAGTAATTACATATGTTTTATACAGAATTGTACAGCTGAGAAGAAAAGTTACCTTAAGAGCTACAAGCAATGTGACTGTTTCAACTGAATAATAGCCTCTGTCAACATAGTCCCCCATAAACAAATAGTTTGTGTCCGGTGATTTGCCTCCAATTCTGAAAAGTTCCATGAGGTCGTGAAATTGTCCATGGACATCTCCACAGACTGTGACTGGACATCGCACTTCTTGTACATTAGATTCTTTTGTCAAAATTTCTTTAGCCTATAAAACAAAAAACACATAAATTGTGAATTTGTCTATGAACAGTCATTTTATTCAAAATATGCTCTACCACTTCCAGCTCTTGACAAGCTGCTCTCTTTATGAAATCTTGTCCCTTCCTTGTCTGAAGCGCTTGAGAGAAGAGTTTATCTTTACTTAAAATAAGATTTTGCTTTATGCAACCCTGTATTAGTAGCAGAAATTTGGTATGGTGTTTTTTTCCCCTCCTTGAGGAGGGTATTTCAGAATTAATTTCCGGCATAAGAAAAACTTCAGACTTTCTACAAAAATGGTTCTGTGAAGCATAAAACAATGATCATCACTGCTGGAACTGAATAAGTTCCTAAGTATTTGAGAAAATTAAATCTAAAAAAATCACACCAATGTCTTATCTCCAACCCTCCAAAAGCTTGAACTCAGACATGGCCAAAACCAAGACTCTCCCTCGAGGAGGTAAGCACAACCGTATCAGCTAGCAAAAGCTCCCAAGGAGTTCTACACTTCTGACGTCTTGCTTCAGAAGACCGTTTGCCACCCATCTACACATACGTCTTTGAACGCAAAGGCAGAGAGTCCTACATGAAGCAGAAGCAAGAACATATCTAACATCCAGTGGCATCAGCAAAAACAGCAAGTTGTGTCTTTATAAACCAAAGCAGGAAAACAACTTTGTCAACACCATTTTTCCCACAAAATTGTGTACATAAAAGTTGCAGACAAAGGCAATTTGTATGAAGAAGCACAAGCTAAATATAGCATCAGAAAGGTAATTTTGAAATAACACAAGAATTCCTTAGTCGTACCATCACACTGCCAGTTGTTACACTTTGTTCTCAGAGCAGTCACCAAACACATGCCACAATAATTTTCTAAATCAAGAGAGTATTATAAATATAAATAGTAACAAGTTCACAAGTTAACTAACTACAAAGATTTCCATGCCTTTCAACCACCAATGTTCCTATTCAAAAAGGATCCCTTTTTTACCTCATTACCAGAATGACAAGAGAATATGTAAAAACTATATTCTATTTCATAACCCAAGGTGTCTATAAGACTTGCAGAAATGGCACCAAATACTACCTATGCACAGGCTACACTGAATCCAAAATATTCTGAAGCATACACCAGTTTGAGAGACAGATGGAAGAGCAACACCACATTCATTTTAGGGTCACTTTTCTTAACTTTCTCAAACCTAACCTGACAACTAAAGCAGCATGCTCATTTTTGGGGGGGTTCTGCTAAGCAAAGAAGTATTCTCAGACACTGGAAAAAATTCATCATAATCTGAAAGAGTATTAGATTTTAAAAGGTTAGGAAAGAAACATTTCAAGTTAAAATCTAAACACTATATTAAATGCTGGGTATTCACGTGAGCCAAGCTATTAAGAAACATGCTGCTGTGTCCAAGTTTCCACCTTATTCATGAAGCCACTAGCTGGACAGTGACTGATACTCCCACTCCCACCCCCAAAAGTGGTCTCGCTGTTCCTGCACATTGTCCAGGCTACCCACCACGGTCACCACTTCAAACAAGAAAAGTGCCAGCAACACGTAGTATAACGATGGAGAATCATGAAATTCAACATTTCATTCAACACTAGAAAGAAATGCAAAAATGCAATTGTGGTTAAGAACCCTGCACAACACAGAGCTTTAGATATTACAGCGTGAGCAACAGAGTTAAATCACTCTGCAGACATATTTACATCAAAAGTCAATCTCATATGACAGTTTCCACTCATGCCGTGCCTAGTACTAAAGATAGGTCATTGCTGGCTTGTGGTAGACGCTAAAAGTGTAGATTTATTTTAAGATAGCCTGACTTAAGTTCATTTTAATGCAGTGACACTCACCGGATGTTTTGAAGGTATTTTAACAGCCTTAGCCTCTTCTAATACGCTATTACAATCAGAAGCATTAGCCATCTTAATTCTCCTTTTGACAGAGAATGTTACAGATGCTTATAGCACTTCAATATAAAAACCCTACTCTTTAATTAGAATGCTTTCTACCACTGTATTTTCTTAACGCACTAGAAGCATTGCACAAAGAATGCAGCATTCATTTTTCATCAAAGGTATGCAGCGTTTATGCTGATGGAGATTAAAATGGCATAGTTCTCAGCAACAGAGTTGCTGCTTCCTCAGTTTCTGAAATATTAAATCACTCAGATATGCATACAACCAAACACGTAGGTAAGTCAGACAGCTACTCTGATGGAAAAAGACTGTTCCAGGTCAACTTTCAAAACAACAATCTCTATTTAAATCCTGCAGTGGAGGAATGCTGGTGCAGGGATTTTGGTATTTCCATGTTCCAAAACAAGTCTCATGAAATACTGTGTTATGAACTGCTTAGTCCATTTACAGTCTTATCACATCCCATAGCATTAACAGTGGCATATACTGAACTGCTTAAGCAGCATACTTGCCTCTACAAAAGAGCTTCAGCAGAGCTGAAAGTGGAAAAAATAACACCCTGAAAACAAGCCACCAACAAGTGGTCCATAAACCATACCCCAAATTTCCATATTAAATCAATTCCTATAAAAGGGTAAAGCAATAAATGTTTTAATATACTGTAGCATAACAAAAACACAAGTCGGTAAGACAACAGTACATGTAATATTACAATTTCACAGTTCAAGTTTCACAAAGGTAAGCTATTGCTGAAGTATCTGTGACCCTGACTTTGTAGTGGACCACACACCATCCTGTGCAACCTCATCTGATTCTACTCCCTCTTTCTTGATCCTTTCCCCGAGATCCACGATGATGCTACTTGCTCAGCCATATCAAACAACTCCCTCCCTGTCTATCCCTGTCCATCCCCCCCCCCCCCCCCCCCCCCCAACCAGCC